TCTTTCCTCTCCTCTAGACTCTAGTCTTGATCCTGGTGCACAATTTTGTAGGTCTGATTTGACTGTATCCATCCACCTCTGCCTATAGGTCATCCTCTAGGTCTTTTCCCATTCATTGTTTCTGTCAATACTTTTTGTCATATAGTTACCATTGGACCTCCAGACATGTCCTGCCCATTCCAAACGTTTGGCTCTTATGCATTTCGTTGATCTTGGGCGTTATAACTTATAGGTATATAAGGTAAATTTCCTTATTGGTAATAATTCTGTATTATTTATTTATTTATTTTATTAATTTTGTACATCGTATAATTCCTTACGTAGGTACCAAAATCATACAGGGGCGCACCCAGGATTTTTTTTTTGGGAGGGCTAAATTCACATAATTTTAATATTAATAGGTAGTATTTATTTTGAAATATGTACAGAAATCTTTAAGCTTTTTTATAATCTTTTACTAACAAATTTTTTTTATTTTTGTCCCGGTTTTAAGTGTCGCCGTAGTCTATAATAATAGACAACAGAGGTCTCTCCCGGGGCCCGGAATGACAGGAATAAATTTTATAAAATTATAAAATCAATGATATAATATAATATTATGTTATGCCTAATGTTTCAATTTCGATAGTTCATAATTTTTTTTTATAACAATTTAAAGTAAAATGTCAATTTTTCAATAAACCTAATAAAATTATCAAAATGTTTGGGGCTAGCCATTTGGGGGGGGGCTAAAGCCCGTTAGCCACCCCCTTGGGTGCGCCCTTGAAATCATAAGTATAATAATAACACACTATATAATAATATTTCGTCGAGTACACGAATGATAATAATAATAATAATATTGCGTTTTCCCGGAAGAGAACAACGGATGGGCCGCGTGCCAATATAATAACGCGACATAATATATTATACGTAATTCGGTGAAATCGATCGCTAAAACCAAGGTACTCGGTAACCGGTACAAAATTGAAATCGCCCTAAAACGAACTTTTTTTCGGTCCCATCAAAACAGATAATATTATTATGTTACGTAGTTACAAAGTACTGTTTGCAGTGGATACGTCACGCAAATAAAAAAATTATTAGGTGTTAAGAAAAAACCAGAAACCTGAGGGGCCCGCGCTGTGTAATATATTATAGCTACAAACTTTATAGTTCTTTATAATTGTGATTCAATATTTTACACTATGATAAGAGAGAGGATTAGAGGAATGTATTGGTTTGTACCGCATATGCCTATAAATAAATGGACTGATACCAGATATTGACATACAACTTAGTCCATTTACCTATGTCCTATATCCATTAATAGCGAGAGAGAGAGAAGTCTATATAGAGGACGAGTAGTCCATGTACAACAATAACACACGTATGTCTAAGGGCCAATTTCACCACTATACTTTAAACTTCGATTAAAGTTAATCCGGGGTTTAATCGGCCGAATTTCCCCTGTTAAATATCTTTTATCAGTCGATTAAGAGAAATCGAAGTTTAAAGTATTTGGTGAAAGCGGCCCTAAATGTCTTATTATGTTTTTAACTAACGACAAGTAAAAACAGGGACAAAAGAGCAAAACGGTGTTTTAAAAACAAAATTTATTTTATTTTATTTTTGGTATCGAGGATACATAAACACAGTTTTTTTTTCATAAATACATAATATTTTAAATTCAAATTGTGTTGAATTAAATATGTTCAAAGAAACCATTGTTTTTTCTCCAACGATTTTATTATTTTGTCACTTTTTTTAGTTTTCAAAAAATATAGATGTTTTGAAACTTTTCACCATTACTTAAATAATCATTTCTATACAGCATAGATAATGCAATTTTCAAAATGTATAAACTAATTTTAAGTTATTTGAAATTTCACGAATTTACACATATCATTAAATAAATGACGCTATGTTTTTGGCAAAAATTAGTTCAAATTTCAATCTACCGTGTATTTGGTAGGTACTAACAGAAAAGTAAATTACTAATTGTCATATAAATACACATACATCATAAACTACTTTTTAGAAATATAGAGACTGACACATCATCTTTTCACAGAATCGTTTTTTACAATGATTTGTCATCGGATTAAAATGTCACACATCCATTTCAGTGACTTACTCTATGATGACGTTCTCTCGACACCTACTATTTTTTAAAATTTTTTTTTTATCTCGAGACATTCTGTTATAACGAGAATTTACAAGGTTTGCAAATTAACGGTTGACACAAGTCATAATCTTAAACGCCAAATTTTATATCAAAAGACTCTTTAAGTTCTTCAATTTAATAAATTATTATAGGTACCTAATACCTATATTGGTATCTTATTCGTGTTAAAATATTGTTGTGTGTTCTATCATAATACATACCTACACTTCATCTGTAAGACTGTAACTGTCTTAGGTCTTGGTGCACTTCATAAAACGTATATAATAGGTATATATTATATGGGTAGCTCGGTGTCTTCCCACGTCGCCGAAACCCAATTTGCCGAATCCCAATTCACCGACATCCCAGTTTGCCGACTTTCAATTCGCCGACTTATTAAACAATAAAAGTAAATACAAATGTATCATGTATAAATGATTATCAATACATTAAGTCAGTAAATACATTATTTAATTATTATATATAAAATAAAAGTAAATATAAATTGTTCATGTATAAACGGTCAGTAGATAAAAGTAAGTATAAATTATTGTTCATATATAAATGATCAGTAGGTATATTATATAAAAATAAAAGTAATTATAAATATTATTCATGTATAAAATACGGTCAGTAGATATGTTATAAATATAATATTATATATATAAAAAAGTAAATATAAATAAAAAAGTTATAAAATTATTGTATGATTATATGATATTTTATTATATCGACATAGGTACTCTATTAAAGAGATTTCTTCTGATTTCAATCTGAAAAAAATAAAAACTAATTATATAATAACTATTATACATGTAAAAATTAATTATTTTATAATATTTACCTATCCTTTGCATTTTTTAATCTTTCTTCAAGCTTTTCGAAATTTCATTTTATTTAGTGGTTTTAGATTATCGTTTTTCTGGGCTTGTAGATCAAGTTCAAAATGTTGTTGTTGATTTTTTATTTCAGTTATCAACACAAATATGTTCGGCTTTGGTCGACTTATACTCCGGTTTAAAGCTGCATGCCAACCTTCTAGGTGGTTAGCTGTACGCCTGTACGTGTCCTATCGGTGTTGAAATGATTCCATATGTTTGTACTTGTCGCCATATAGATTGCCCAAAATGAAAAAGTCTTCCTTTTATTTCTATGTTATATCCAAATGAACCTCTTATCCGTTTTCGATAAGATCATTGTCAACTGTCGGCGAATCGGGAAAATTAAAACTTTATTAATAATTTGTCGGCGAACCGAGACGTCGGCAAACTAGACTGTCGGCGAAAAGGGAATATTTTAAAACTGGTATATTTGTCGGTAAATTGAGTTGTCGGCGAATTGGGATTCGGCAAAGTGGGTATGGTATGAACCGGGTAGCTCATAAATCACTGAATAAACCTAATAGAAATAATGGTTTCCGGCTCTTAATATGTACATATATTATGTAATATATGGGTACGTTTCGGAAGAACGACGATAATACCGATCAGGGTTTTAAAATACGAGGTTGGATGAGAAAAAATGAACTTACAACTTTTGGCCAACAATCATAGGTGACGGGTATAGTTTCCGTCAGTCCGGTTCGGATTGCCGCGAAGGCGGTTGTTTATGTATAAATGGTTTCTTTTTGTCTTTTAATAATAAATTTCATAATATTATTTTCTTTGTGCGCGTCTCGCAGACTGCCGCCGGCCGGCCGGCCGTTGTCGCCCCCGACGGACGGACTCCGTCGCGTGCGTTTCGGGAAAAGGCGCACACCGGCCGAAATGCGATTTAATTTGGCCGGAGAATTGCGTCTTGGCCGTAAAAATAGACCTCTGGCTATGATTAGCAGCCACCCGTGCCACTCGCGCACGCGTCCGTCCGACACGGGTTGAGTACCTATCCACCGCGGCCGACATCATACTCATATAATTATAGACCTTGTGCGCGCCACACCACAGCCACGACTTCACACATCACGTCCGGACTCAATAATATAATAATATAGTACAGCACCGCGACCGGAGACGAAAATCCCGCTGCCCGACCAGGTAAAGTGACAATTTTTTTTAAATATTCACGTAGGATCGATAACAACTACGACTAATATTGTATATTTTGTGCTGATAATAATCAAGTCATAATAATAATTATACGTTGCAGTCGGTACTTTTGCACATTGCAGCATTCGATGTGTGTATCGCACTGTCATAATAATATTGTGTGAGGCGTGAGCACGATTTGGGTCTCGAGAAATTATAAAAAAAATATTTAACATCCGTATCGCGTGAAAGTGCACTCGTCGTCAACGCTTTGCTATCAATGCGATCATCGGTTTTGGAACATCATCCGTATCGATTATGATAGATCCACCGGTAGTATTATTATTTGATTCTCCGGTGTAGTATACTAGTGTAGGTACCTATATAGTTACATATATGCCTACATCAAATACATTACACCTACTATAGTACTATAATATCACAGAATTCATCGGTTGTACTTAGTTATTCAATAATTGTATTGTGCTAAGGCTCTAAGCAAGATCGTTTAGTCGGAAAATCAACGTGACTCTTAGTTTTAATCGTTGTATTTTCCTGTTCAATTGTAGGATGGGGATTATTTTAATAGGTATTTTAATTAAATTATTATAGTTTAACATTTCATCGCAAGTATACTTCAGTGTATAGTCGAACTAGATGCCTATTATAAACACTTGCTTTATATAGGTCAAAAGTAAAAATAGATTTTGAACTATGGTTTTTTAGTGACCTATCAAATTCTAATAAATGTATACATCATTTTTGATTATTGCAAATGCTCATTATATAAGTTATATTATTCATTTATTATTGCAGTGTAATTATCTCAGATGGGCGCAATATGGAGTCGTCCGGCAGATATGCCAGCTTTAACAGCACCAGTAATAATTTATACTAATATACTATTCATACATTACATTATTATATTAGTTGTATTTTATTATTATTATTATTAGGATCTAGTTGATGAGTCCTTTGAAAATACTACTGTTGATGCCAAAGATCCAGATGAGTTCGACAGATATTTGGCCAGTATACGCGAACGGCGGCATGATGCTCTTGCATCGATTAAAACTGAGATGAATCGATTGAGAGAGTATAAAGAAGAACTGGAAATGGTGAGAAAAGAAAAAGACGGATTGGAACAACAGGTCAAAGCCCTAAAACAAGTAGCGAACATCAGCAATGATATGTTGAAAATCAGAGAAGCACAGGTGATTTATTCATTGTATTTATGGCATACCCTAATGTGTTAAACATTCTTTGATACCTACGTCTATAATAGGTGACTGACTTAAAAAAACGATTGCAAGAAATGGAATCACACGCGGATGAATGTTTAGCTGATTTGCGAGTGGAGTACCAAAAGCAAATCGACAATATCAGGAATTTACGCCGGCTTTACGAAGAAAGGGCAGAAGCAGCAGCTATGGGCCATGAAAGGGAAATTAATAAAGAGCGAGCCAAAAACTCTTTACTAGAAGCAAAATTGGCAGAAGAACTTAACAGTAAGCAAGGTATGAATGACTTCATAGCAAAACTTGAAACAGATGTTCAAGGTAAGCAAATCGAATATGAACAAATGAAAGCAAAATACATGACTACATCAGCAGACAGGATGAGTCTTGCATCACAAATGGCTTTAGTTAATAATTTATTCTCTACATTATTATCTGGCGATGAAGGACCGGACTTTGATAGATTTGCTCGGATGCTAGAGGAAAATAGAGAGTTGATATCTGACTTGACGTTCAACGGGGACATTAATGAAACGGCTTCTGTGTTAATGGATATTGCTGGTGATACATTGGAGCGTTCTGAAGAAGTAGAATGTACTTCAAACCGGGAAAAAATTGCCTCAAATCTACCAAAAGTTTGGAGGATACTCGTTGAATTGTTGGGTCACTATGACAATAAAACGGCAAATGAGTCTAAGCCAGACGATCCAAATGAATCTAGGGTAGCTTCAGTGAGTAGAACATTTTTGAAGCTTAAAGACCTTATCCTTGAAAAAAATTCTTTGGTGAAAGATATCGGTAGATTGAAGACTCTCAATGACCATTTGGAATCTAGACTTGATCATCAGCAACAAAGGCTTTCAACTGTATCCGCAGAACTGTGTAAGGCCTGGAGTTCTGTAGCCAAGCTTAATGCTCAACATAGAAAACTTCATACTCATGAAAAGATTCTAAGGTACGAATTACAACATAAGAGAACTGTACTGACTGAACTTAAACAGGAGTTAGAGTATTGTAGGGAGAAATGGGATCAAGCCCGATTGAAGAATACTCAATCTCAGGAAGATTGGCAGTCGTTACGAGAAGAATTTGCTCGGAGAAAATGTAGTACATCAGTTGAGAGTGGGTTCGAAGACGATGAGAGCCGAGTGGCCATTGCCGATAGTGGAGCTTGTAGCGATGATGATGAGACCTGGTTGAAAACCTTATCTTTGGACTCCTCAGAAACAGAAACAGTAGATGAACCCCAGTCAGAAACTGAAACAACTGGGATTAAAAGATTAGAGAAACAGAGTAGATCGTTGCTCAATCAAATGGTACGTACTTCTCGAACCAGTGACTCTATAAGTGAGCGGCTAGAAGAATTACAAAGGCAATACGGACGGTCTGGACGACCAACCACATCGGAGAGTGAAGATTCTTCGGAAGTTTTAGTTGAAATACCAGGAACCAGTACTTCAACACCGATAACTTTACAACTTGAAGAAGAAAATATATTACAAACTGATGAAATAGTTTTAAGAACCGAAGAAGAAGCAGAAGATAGATTGCAACAAGATACAGCTTTATTACGGCCTGACGAGGAGGAAAGACTACAGCGAAGAGCTGCTAGATTAAAAAGATTGGAAGAACAATGTTTGGGATTATTCAGACAAGTAAGTGAAACAACCTTAATGTGACCTTAGATAAGATTTTTATAATATTTCATACAAAAATATTAACAAATAACAATGGATTATAAAACTGGTGATTTTCGTATTTAATTATATAGAATAATTGCCTTTTTCACTGTCCCATCCTGTATAATACTAATGGCCTTATAAAAGTATATTCTTACTTATGTATTCAAAAATTTAATACAGGATTTATATATCTTTATATATCTACCTGGAATTTTAGTCATATTTAGGTTGTATTAAATTTTAAATTAATCTTGTCTCTGTTCAAACAAAAGTTTTTTTTAATATTAATTTGAAGTAAATAGGTACTTATTGTCCGTTGCATTAAAATAAATGTTACTTAAAGACGTAGGTACGTTGTGGGACTGGTATGTATGTAAATACAGTGGCGTTTTCAGGATTCTTCATTTGGGGGGGGGGATAACAAATGATTTGCAAAGTGGGCCGTGAGGGGGGTCTATCCCACATATCAACCCCCGTGAGAACGCCCATGTGTAAATTTATAAATCACGGTATCATACCTATAACCACATTAGGTTACATACATTCGCTGAAATTTAATTGTTCACTATTATACTACAATAATATATTGTTTTATGGATATTTTTTTCACTTCACCGAATAAGAATAAAAAATTAAGTATGTCACTTTTTCATCATGTAGGTAGGCATTGAATATTATTACTTATTAATAATATGGTTTATTATAATATTTATAATATTTATAATAAGTAATAACACGGTTTAGCTTTGTTTGTCATTAATTGAACACATTCGATTTATAAATCAGTATGATATTAATATCAATTATTTTGGTTTTAGGTAAGCGAGACTAATGCCAGGAGTGATATGATATCTGGTCGACTGGATGAGGTGCATGCTAGACAGGTAGCTAGATCCATTGATCGGCAGACAACATCAAATATTACTCCTCATCCCGATGAGACATCTGAAACGACTGAAACGACTGAAACGACTGAAAGTGTATGATATGAAAAAAGTAAAACCACATGATTGAAATGTTACATTTATGTATGTATATTTTTTGAATCAAAAACTACAGAAATGACGGCCAATACCTTTTAAAACGTTACATTTCCGAGAAATACAAAGAATATTACAAAAAAAAATAATAATAATAATGATTACGCACAAACATGTTCTACTATTTTACTGTTTCACAAAATCCAATACTATTATTAACTTTCTACAGTGCCACTATATAGGCCATACATAATATTATATAATAGAGTAATGTTAGCTTTATTATTGTTTACGATTTCATATTATTTATATTTCCATTCAATAGCTTAGGAATGATATTTTGTTATAATAACTATGTATATGATGCTATAATATTATTGTTATTTGAATGACGTGTGATTTTATGAGATTTGTGATTTTATATAAATATATTGTATTGATTTATATTTATATTATTAAATCGTTACCCTGAGTAAACACTATATTAAGATAGTATAGTGTTATATTTTGGCAACGAGATCATTTTAGATTAAAATTGTTATTGTTTCTTTACCGACTTTAAGTAGTCAACTTTCCTGAAGTTTGTGGCACTCATTTTTTTTTTTAATTTTCACTATTGACGTAATAATTAATCCCCAATTGCGTGTTATAAAAACATGTTTATAAATGTGTACAAGCTTAAAAGTTTAAAAAAATGTGTTCATCGTACGATATGCTAGTTATTATTATTTTAATTATTAATATTAAATATGGATACGCATGATATTACATGATTTTATTTTTATGTGAATAAGTCACGAACAGAATGCAAATATTCTTTTAATCTAGACCAATAATAATAATTGTCGTTTAATATTATTTGTAATATGAATTATCGAAAATTATCAATTATATTATTAATAATCAATATTGAACATCATATTTTAATCTTATCACAATAGTTAAACGAAGTACGTACGAAGAATTGACTAAGATAGTATATTTAAACACTAGATAAAATGTAATTACTACGCTTGTAAATCTACTTATTTAAATAGAATATGATATTCTCTTAATATCTAATGAAGATTTATCGTTTTGAATATCCTTTATGTATGTGATTTTTTTTACCACAGTTGTAAGTATTAGTATATAAAGAAAAAAATAAAAACAAAAAAGACGACGTGCGCGTTACGAATTTTTTGTAATTTAGTTGAACGATGTTTTGCCAAAAATGAAGTTGCCCAAAGCCGCTTGATCTTCGGAGGAGAAAAATTCCACCCAGTATTTAGCGAATTCGTCATGAGAGACTTGTACGGTTCCGCCCTGAGTACAGAATAAAACAAAGCACACTTAATTAGGTTAGTACAGGGTTTTAATTACAATATTAAAAGTGTTATTTTGTTTGCCACTAAACGAAGTTTTTACAAAAATACATGTTTATTTACAGGAGGTAGGAGTTTGGAGGCTGTAAAAAAATAATGAATATGAGCGCTAAAATGTGAAATAAAAACCTATTAGCTGGCATATTATTTTAAAGCGCATTTAGTGGTAACATCGTTGCACATTCATGCGCAGTTAAAATTGTTTTAAATAAACGCATATTATTATTATGTGTAGTAGTAGGGACAATGTCGCAGTATTTTGTCTTACAGTTGATATAATTAAATAAACTACCAACTATTTTAGGTTAGATATTTTATATACATACAAAGGTAACCCATTAAAGTGTCTAGACTCATTAGTCATAACTTTAAAATGTTTGAACTTTTTTGAAAATATAACCTATTATTTATTATAAATATGTAATTGAAAAAAAGATTTTATTATGTTTTGTAATATTGTATAGTTGTCAAATTTTTACTTTTTTGACAAATTTACATTATTGATTTTATATTTCAAAGAAGAATGCTTTCCGGATTACTTGGATGTATAGAAATCAAATTTCGAACAGGTAGTTGATTAGTTATAACTTATAAGTACCTAGGTATTTAAAGTTCATTCGGAATATGAAATTTAAAACGTATGCTGTCCTTCGTAATAATAAAAAAAAACTAACAAAATGGTAATTATAAAATTTGTAAAAATACTGTTTTGCACATGACATCAAATTATGTTAAAAAGAATATTTTTAAAATAATGATCGTAGAAACTTAAATAGATCACTTTGACACTTTGTATATACATATACATATTATATTATTATGTATCATAATAATTTACAAAATGAAAATATAGTATTATGTCTTGGTACCAAGTACCTTACTCCTACTTAGATAATTTTGATAGAAGAAAAATAATTCTAATATAAAATAATGAAAATATAATAAATGTATTTACTTCAACAAAGTTTTTATACCTTTAGGGTTAAATTAAAACTTATAAGCGGTAAAAACCAGAAGGTATAGATAAGTGGCTATTACTTTAATTAACATTAAACTTTATGGTTCTTCTCAGAATAGTGGTTACATAATATTGGTTACCCGATTGTATTGTATGACGATATTAATTAAAAAAATATTTTTTTTAAGCCCTTTGATGTCGTGGTAAAAATATGACGTGCAGTTTTCTGAATACTGGTCATATATATATTACGAGTGATACAAAATAGAAAAGACGATACCTAAATAAATATGGGTACGATACGGATTTCGTATTGAAGTTTAATTAAAGTTTGAACCATACTTAAATATTTTAGTTACACCTAACATGGGTTGTAATATTTTCTTCTACAATGTACGATTATTAAACCGTTACGACATTCGACATATTATTTTGTGATTAATGATAATTTAAACCTATATACAAATACAGGTACATAGGTATGATATAAAATGTAAAACAACGTTGCTAAACATGCGTGCATTTTACTTTTGGTGTTTTAAAGAAAAAAAAATACTAATTAGGAATATAGGTAGGTAGGTTGGTGCCAATTCTATAATTTATTTTAAATTGTTATTGGTGTGTAAATAACGACTTTAATTTTATGGAACAGTTTTGTTCGGGTATAATTTATAATATATCAAACTCTGTAAAACCAACATAATAAATATTAAATGAGTTTTAATATTTTAATTTTGATGGTTATTTTTGTACACGCAGGTGAGTGTAATAATTTCATTGTATTATTGTTATTATTGTTATACACGACGTAGTCCCAATTAAAGGTTTAATCCATGTAATGAAATATACCTATTGACAAATATGTTCTGTGCTCGCGAATACATATTTTGCTCTCGTTCGAGAGTGGAAATAAGAGTTAATACGGCAGCGAAACCTGCAGATAGAAAATTATCATCCAAATTTTGTGACATGCCAGTGCAGATAGTGCGAACTTCCGGTCACATCAATTTCCCATCCGGCTTTCCGGTATACGATTACGACCGGCGTAGGGTTCACTACAAAGTTAGTGATTAAATCGTTAAAGGGGGGTAGGCTAACCTTTGAGAATCGTTTATACGCGTCCGCAGCTTCCGCAGCAGGCACGCCGTTGTTTTGGCAAACTTCGCAAAATTCCGCCTCGTCGATGGAACCGTCGCCTGTAAAACAAAAATACAACATTATTTAAAACCCTTTTGTCAAATATTTTATGAAAGCTTCTTATCTTAAATTACAAAACGCTTTTTGGGGAAACAGTTGTTGGTGTATAGGTACCTACACGCCATGAGTAGGTATTGCACGTCATTTAACGTGTAAATAATTAAAACGGGTAGGAGCGTATAATTGAACATAAAATAAGTATGTGTCATTAAAATCGGTAAGTGTATACTACCTTTGCTTATTATCGTTTGTAAAAGGGAATTTAAATGTTGTCTTTAAATTACCAAAATAATATACTGGACTATTACTATATGTATTAGTTTTTATAAAAATAATCAATCTTTTTCAAATTGTCTAATAGGAACCTTATGCATGATTCATGTATAGGTACTAAATATTTACAAAAACACGACTATAACGTATTGATGATTTTCGTGATTTAAATATCCTCTTTTTTTCCTACAAATTGTAATAGGTAGCTGGTATTCCTACAATCCACATAATGTTATGTATTCTGAAAATTACCCTTATAATAAATTACGAATATGACGTATTAAGAACACATTTCATTAATTTAAGTACCGATTCTCAAACACAAATTTACAAATAAGACACATCAAATTGAAAAATGTATACACGATGAATTAAATAATTCATTATAATGAAAAAGGCGTGAATAGCGAACAACTGAGTTTACAATAAATGTAGGTAAAGAGAGATTTTTTCATTCATGTTGACAATAAGTGCAGTGATATGGAAAAGAGGTTTGGTAGGTACTCGACGAAGCGTACCTAACCCTTTATACGTCGACTTTAATAATATGAATTCGTCAAAGTGTGAAAATATTTAAAGAAAATGTCAAAATTATTTCGATTAAAAAGTCATTGGCGCGAAGTTGTGTAATTTAAATATTTCAATACATTACATTCTAATTTTTATTTTATCATTAAATATTTTGGTCTCGTATGTTCAAAACTTTTTTTTATATATACAATATAATAATATATTTAATTGTTGAACTAAAATATTACAAAATTAAAATATTTACTATATTGTTTTAGTAAAATATGTTTGTGATCTTATATATATATATAGTATCTAAGACTGGGACGACACGAACATTTATAGCAGCCATTCAGCTACTAGACAACTTGGAGGACGTCAGACCACCCAAAACGTTTGAAGTCATACGGCTTTGTTTGATAAGATGTATTACGTATTAGATTAAGAACAGGTGTTATTCCAATGACCGTAACGTAACTCCACACGAATATGTATGTTTATATTGATTATTTGATTTAGGTGTACAAAAATTGTGAATCGTTTTCGTAAAGATCAATATTATTGATTTCAATAAAAATGATGATAAAAAATTACCTAAATTTTATGTTATTATAATGGGAAAATATTTTTGTAAATAAAACTATAGTTATTGTTCTTCTATTTATATACTCGTTATAGTTATAAGTTGTAATCAATAGTGGTCAAAAAATAATTAGTACAATTTCGTATTTTTTTCGAAGTTTTTGTGAGCTTATATTATTACGTGCCTACGTATAATCCGAATGTTGCCTAATTTCATATTTAAAGTTGTGACTGTTTAATGTATTTTGTTTCTCCAAAGGCTTACTCAATCATTCTAAAATTAATTTAACGAGGCTGTTAAAAATACAACGCCGTGTTACAATGCTTGTTATGTAAAGGAAAAACTGAAATTTGTTTTTACCTCGATTACTAATTATTATAGATATTAGATATATATTATATATATATATTCATTATTACTAAATACTCATTGGTTGGTAAAAATGTAAAATTAATAAAGAACTATTTTAATTAAATTCGTTTCGAAAGAATAGTGATAGAAACTAAAATATTTATGCTCTAAACAAATTTAATTAACTTATTCTTTGCATAACAGTTAATTTGTATTATTATTTATTTTAATTTAATACTTTATTCAATATAACCAGAAATCTCTTATAAGTACCTTCCTACATAATATTAATTGTAATGCTCTTCGACCATACTGTCGGTCAATTTGTGTTATTTATATTTATACATATTATATTCAGCAGTTTTTACAGGAACAGTGTTATATGGCAACGAATACAAATATTTTCTGAAAATTTGTATATATTTATTAGGTATACATTGAGTATTAAAACCAATAATAGCTTATTATTTATGAGCTTATAAAGTATACTAGAGACATTTAGTGGAGAGGTAAGTTGGTAGGAAATACCTGGTCAATTGTCCATTCACCATATCCTGCTCTCATAATTTTGAATTCATATAATTTATAAATAATAAACTATATTATATTGGTTAGATATGTAATATTTATACATAAACCATTTTAGGAAAAAAATTCTGTTTCAGAATATGACATTATGTAAGAGGTTCACTATTTAAAAAAAATAAAACTACATACAATTATTAACATGAAGAATAGAGATCAAACTATAATTTATTACGTCGAGACTATATATTATAGTGTAAATAATTTGTATATTATTGTATTACATTGTTCATAATAAATTGTAATGAAATATAACAGTAGTTGTCAGTTCAGTAAAAAAATAAGTGTATAGAGATCACGTATAGCAGCTCCCTCTATAACTCACTGGTAAAATTATTTATTATTTATCGTGACACATAACAGAAACATAATTCTATTTTGTATTCATATTTATTCCATAATATAGTATTTTATGAGAGATTTAGAAATTTCCTTGAAAATGACAACAAATCTATCAATAGTTTTAAGGAAACCAGCAGTAGCCATATGCTATACTGCATACATACACCGTACAATAATAAATGTCGTGAAAAAAGCAAAATAAAAATATTTTTTTCTATTAGTTTAGTACGGGAGTAATATTGTAATAATTTTAAAGTTTATTTGTTTGTGTTAACAAAATGAAAATTTAAACGAGCTGGATGTGTTTGTACTGAATTGCATAAATTCACGCGAATTTGACAGAAAGTTATATTATGCATAAATTAATGTTTGTATAACATAATTTTTCTTCTCTCAACATCAGCTGTCACCCTATACTTAAAGTTGTATATTTATAAATCCTTTCCCTTCTCAAACAAAGGTCAAATGTTTCAATTTACATTTTACATTGTTATTATTTCTGTATTTTTGTTGTACCAAGTTTAAATAACTCCATAATTTACAGTTCAAAAGGCATACAAAACGACAGCAACATCATAGATCCTCCTAAAAGAAACGTTTGAGACAACGCTAAGACTTGTTCTACAGCTATTGAATCATATTTTTTTCACTGACGATTTTGAATTTTTATAACGTTCAAATAAATAATATTTAACACTGCCATTGTGTAAAAACAATTCAGAAATTTTTAACATACTAGAGTCATAAAGGTACCAGGTGATCAATACTTCTGTATGTTAAATTAGTGTAATATTTAATCATATACAAACACTCTAAAATATGTTATACGTTTTGATTTTTACAAACTTAATTATTGAAACATGTTTTCGTAAATATTAAATCGCATACCATCTTTAATTTACACATATATTTTTCTACTGTAATTTTACTGAATAAACTTTTGATTTTAAAATAACAGTTAAATTGCAATGAAAAAAGTTCTAGATTGCAGTTCTAGATTGCAGTTCTAGACTGTATAATAGAGTGTTATATGGTTACCGAGAATAAAAAGGTGTAACGGTATAATACTGTTTGTTCTCATTTTATTGCTCCCCTATATTAACTTTAAATGTATGAAAAAATAAAAAAAAACAACTTGTCAACAGTTTTAAATTTACTCGAGTAAAATTAAAACAAAAAAATCTTCTGCATTAGAATAAATAGTGGTTGGTTACAATATTATTCAAATATTTAATCGTTTTTAATCGAAGGCTTCAACAATACGAGTTGTTAGCCTGTAAAATCACACAAGTATTTAGACATAGGTACAGTGTTCCACATTCGTTTAAGAGCCTTTACAACAATATTTAAATGCCACGAATTAATCCAATCGACGATTCGATAAAATATTAAATCTAATCAATTTAATGTTTTCGACGATGAGTCAACAGGTGACTACAACTATAAATTATTACCTGATGTGTCGACCAGATCAAACATGAAATTCATATAGTGTGTTTGCCATTCTTGGGGTGCACTTGGGTTTTTAGAGAATTCGTCCCACATTGCGCACCATTCATCTTGTGTCACCTATATGTGGAGAAAAAAAATTAGAAAATAAAACAAAATGGATGCATATAAAAGCTATGTTTATGTCCAATGAAACGAATGCGAGCAAACAAATGGAGTGATTTTGCATTTGTGTATGTGTATGTATTTTTACTGCTGATTGTTCTTTCGTTTATTGCGATTGAGCACCTGGGGAAAACTGAAAACACGATTTATTGTGAAGATAACTCGATATCCATTTACTTCCCATGAGATATTCGGGCCTCTCTGATTTTGCAATTGATGTAGTTACCTACTTGTATTTGCACGCACTGATCAAATATTTAAAGTCATATTATTCAATCGACAACTTTGTAAATGCTATCGGAGAAATATACATCGAATAGGTACATACTTGCACGAATTACCATTTTATTCGTACACATTTTAAATTGTAAGTATACATTTTATATTTTTGAGAATTCAAAATTGTTATTTCACTGTAGTGAGCATAATATTATTACGATGAAAAAACGTACAGACAAATTATCAAGGTTATTGTGATATTTATGGAGCACTATGTTTTTAATTGATTTATTTTTGTTGACGTGCCTTTGGTAAAATTCACTTACTTAAAGCAGTTAAGATCTAAACGATATTAATTGATTTAATATTTGATACAATTTTACCCCATTTAATCATCTTCATTAGTTAATTACCTAAAAATAATTATTAAATTTGTATTAATATATTATAATATTAAGAAGTTAAGCACGGCATATAAATTAATAGTTTCAATGAACACTATACAAACTGATTGACAAAACATGCTCAGCTCCTTTAGTAAAGCATTATTTAAAATTTCGAATTTCGAAGTTCTTAAGTATATAGGTACTTAAACTTTAAAGACCGTAATTTCAAATAAATACTTAGATTTTTATGCTGGGTATTTAAGAAGTTTCTGAGATATTAAATTTTATGTACCTACCTAATAAGGATAATAATCCCTTATAATGGGTTATAATCAAATATAGAACAGATGTGATAATACCTACTCAATCTTGACTTTATAATACTTACTTGTTGTTAGTTATTATTTTGACGAACAGAAAATATTAAAATATTAATATTAATTATTTTAACTTTGAACTTTCAAATAGGCGAGACACAATATATTTAAATCTATTATCACGGAGTCCTTATAGTATATAAAGTTTAATAATTCTGAAACTTCTCATTCAAATTTTGGTTTACATTCATTAACATTTAAAAAAAAGCTTAACTATTCACAGTAAAATAGGAGTGGGAGGAACTAACTCAAAAATAGTTTTTACCGACACAGGGCAATCTTTAAATTCCATAAAAAAAATTTTAAACCAAAAAATTTTGTGCACAAGTATAATTAATATTCAAAAAGTCATATTAATTGAATAAATTTGTCAATAAAGAAAAACGGGGGTGAGGAAAATGCTTGGTTAATTCATTGTACCGTGTATATTATAATATATAAATATTAACTATATTATATCGTATAGTTATTGTTGTTTGCTCAGAATTATTTGTCAATTGTTATGAGTTTTAACTATTATCATTAATTTTAATAAAAGAGGAAATTTATGAATGGAAAGAAATTGAAGTTATCGGTCGATACTTGGTCTCTGTATCTGTTCGTATTTTTCAAACTAATGATAAACATTTGTATCATTATATTATTGTTTTGATCAACAAAAATGAATGTAAAATTCATAACAAATTACAAATAAAAAACACTCAACTAATAAGTTAAGGACGAGTTTCAAAACAATATAAAATATATTATGTTTTATCGATTGTATGATTATTCATTCTTACACATGAAGTGTAAACAATAAGACTTGTACATTTTATGATGTATGAAAAACATGTCTTTGAAAAGTATTTCATTTTATATAGTATAAAATAATAATATAGTTAAAATGATTAAATTAATTTTCTTAAAGTTAATATTTAGTTATTCAACAATTAAATTTAAGTTATTTTTTAATCCTTTATACATTATAGTTTGACTAATTAAGTAGGTATTAAAAAAAACGTTCATCATAGTAAAAGTGTAAAACAGACAGATTAAAGTAAAATATCATGAAACCGTTGAGTATAATTCATAAATATTTTAGTCTATTAACTAGTTAAAATCGAACTTAAATGGTTTAATAAATTTAAATTTAAATATATTTATAATCTATGTAATTATCGCCTTTAATGTTATAATTAATGTAAAATTATATCTACGTATTACTCAAAAGTATTAAAGGTTTTTATAACCTATTATTTGCGAATTATGTTGTAAAAGACAATAGTAGGCAATACAATTTAGTGACGATGGTTCTTTCGTCTATTATATTTTGAGATTATTTTAATTACTTTTTAAATTTGTATCCTTCGTTTTAATATGAATTCTTTCAATAATTTGTTATTATACGTTTTTTATATTGTCGGCTACCTACTTTATTTTTCGTAGTTATTTATTATTAAATAAAAAAACATACTCAGTACTGTAACAATATTATATAAATATCCTCAATTTTATTGTGATTTTAGATAGAAATTGTATGGAAGTATTTTTCTAACCTGACCATCCTGATCTTTGTCAGCACCAGACTGTAAGCCATCCCAAACCTTGAGCAGACATGATCGGGTTTTCTCTACTTTTTCCGAGTCACCGCTCCAGCCTCGCAAATTACAAAATCTCTGAAAAATAAAATCAAAGTGGTACAAATAGTATTAATATTTTTTTTTATAAGTATTATAAGGGTACAGAAAATAGTTATTTCAAATAAAATAGACTTGAGACGGGAAAAATGAAGCAAACTTCTTATTGTCTTATAGAAAATAACATTGATTAGTGATTACAAATACTAGTATATTTTATAATATAGTATTTATAACCAATGATAATAATAATAATAATATGGTTTTTTTACTCTACAACTAATGAAGAAAAATTCATTCTAATCTGTGAAACTGAAGTAACTTAAAAATGAATGATTTGATTATAAAATAATAGTTAGATGAAATTTATTGATTTAAGACAATATTATACAAAATGCGACATGTCATCCGATATCGACAAACAAAAACGATTTGATAACACAGTAGGTAATAACTATAAACAGTAAACACAATTATTGCAATTGGTGTTTTTATTATTATATTATTATGATAAAATATTAACAATGTACCTACATAACAATTATTAGTGATAATTATAAAAAGTTACAACGGACCGAATACAAAGAGTGAACCGAAAACTTCGGGACTATATAAGGTATTGCACTGATGATTTTTTCTCTTCATTTCAGAGACGACTCGATGAAATATAAATTAAAATACCACTTAAGCACATAAAGTATTTAAACTTAAACTTTGATGTTTTAAAACATAAGTTATAACGATATATCTATATGACTATATCGAGCATCAATAAACTGCTATACGAATTTGCAGTTTCACCACTAGTTTTGAACTGCTCAATAATAGATTTTGTTTTATGGTTTTTCAATTTAACTTTAAATGATGTCTTATTTTTACTTTATTTTTTTGCTTTTCCGCGTTTATCATCTTAGACGATGTAAGTGTATTCGTTTATTTTATTAATTATTTGAGATCTATGTCTTTTTTTTAAATTAGTTTCCAACCAAAAGTTATAATACCTCGACAATTAATTGAACATCTTAAACGTAACAATACAACTTAATTACTATACTTAGGTATACTATGACATTAAATATGTAAATACAAGATATGGATGTACGGAAGGTATGAACGTATGATGTGTGTGTGTTATGGCATGGGAGTGGTGGGAAATGGGAATTTTGTTTAATAAGGATGTGAGTGAAATTACAAATTAGAAGAGGGTTAAAGATTGATTTTAGTTTGACGAGGAATTTGGTGATGATGTGCATAGGTTGCTAGGGTGATGGTGGTGTGTTAACAGTGATTTCGACGTAAAACGATTTTGCCATTGGCTTTGACCTGACGGCTCCGTTTCCACTACTTCAAGGTGCTGGGGGCCCGGCAGAGATAAATTTCTTATAAAATAATATAAAATATATTCAATTATATTTATATTATAAATATAGGTAATTGAATAAATAAAATAAATATTTGATAATTTATATTACAATATTATTCGTTCTCAATATGTTATGCACAATGCATTTCTATTTAATCTTTATATACCAAAAAGATTTACAACTGATTTAAATTATAAATTTACTATATTATGTTTAAATTATGTACGATAAATTCTGATTAAAAAAAATTGGGCAGTTATTCAGAAATGAAATATTATGATTGACATAGTATGTGTAGTGTGTGTATCTACCCTAACCTAATATTTCACAGCATCATTTATGTTTTCACATTCAGATGAAATGTAAAAAAAATTATATTCAAATAAGATAAAAAAAAGAGTGAGATTTATAAATAACAAATTATTTTACGTGGAAGAGTTTTAAATTCTTGGTATTGAGAATATAATTTTATTTTTATATATTTTTCAATAGGAAACATAAAAAATAAAATCAGCCAGAATTGAAACTGAATATTTATTTATTTTACTTTTAAAAATGTTTTCACGCATAGAATTTGATTAAATAATTTTAAAATATTGTTTAAGCGTACAAAACTTTCGATAAAAAATTACAAAAAACAATTATTTATTCTGATTAATAATATTATATTATAATCATTGATGACATTGATGAAATAATTTTTTTTTATTAGGAGTAAATGATTAATTATCTATCTCGTAATTATATTATATTTTATACAAGTTTTAAGATATTTTAGTATAAGAAAATATTAAAGATTTTTGATTTACAATTCACAATCAATATGTTTTTTGTGCATTTGTTCAACCTGTTCAACATTGAAAATATAATATGAAATAAAATTTTTTTTCTCCAATAATAAAGACTTTATTTGGACATAATAAATTATTAAACTTCAAAAAATATTAAATATTTATTACATGTATCTTAAGGGATAGTAATCACTAATTTAACATTGTTCCGAGTAGGTAGGTATTCTAAAAGAAAAAATTAATGCGCGAAGAAAAATAGTTTTAGTGTGTAAATATTAAAAGAACAAATTTGATATAGGTAAATATTAAGAAAGTTTGTTGTTCTATTTTATTTTTGTTACTAATTTAAAAACTTTATTTTCCTCAAAATAAGTTTATTCAAAACATCTAAATTAATTAACTGGATGTTAGATAATTTCAAAGAGTTATTGGTTTTTTTTTATTATTATAATTAATAAAGCACTGTGGCTGAAATAAGTTTAAATCAGTTCTATAGCAATTTGTTTTAGTTTTATATTGCATTTTAAGTGTATTAAAACGATATATATTTTATAGTCTTTATTAAGTATACAAGTATTCATTTTCAACACTAGCGACAAGCTGTGTGAATGGTACTCAAAAATGGTAGAGAACTTAAACTCAAAGTCGTCGTTTTTCTTTGTTTCGTCATTCCATTATGGAATGGTTATCTTATCCCGTTTAATTCAGTAGTTGCGTAGCTTGAAATCACTAAACTTAACGGTTTTAAAAATTTAAACCATTTGAGAAATAAAAAATAAATGTACAAATGCAATCATGTTTTTACTTCCATTAAAAAACTAACCATATTATATTATTTTAATGAAACATATTAGTTATTACATCCATTACATAAGTTTAGATATTTTTTTCAATTACATACAAATAATATTTATTTATTTATAAATAGGTATATTGAGTAAATTACAATATATATAAAGTCGCCTCTCAGTAACTCAAGTTCAAGGGGAAAAACTCATGTTATTAAACATTTCAAGGTGTGAAATACCAATTTCGTGTTATAGCGTTTGAAGGAGAGTTTTATATCCAATATATTGAAAAAAGGTTCGAGTTATCGAGAGTCGACTCTCGACTGTATAATATTATATAGAGCGATTTCCACATAAAGACAATACTGTCAAATAATTCGATTTTTTCTATCATATAATATAGTAAGAGTGTCATACTAACATTTTTTGTTAAATAGATGGCCAACTTTTTACAGTAAGTTGTCCTGCAGATGATTTTTTTGAAAATATTTTTATATAATTGCATCTAAATCGAGTTTTTAACGAGTTGTTTCAGAATTATTTAACCTTATACAGAATAATAAATAATAATAACAATAAATAATTAGTAATAATGGCTTTAAGTATAATAAAAAAGGTAGGTATATAATAGATATATTTTATTCTGGTACTTGTTGTATTTGGACAGTTTTTACACATTATCAAACGTGGATGGACTAATTAAAATAATTTTCAAACCATTATATTATTATCCCTTACTACTTAGGATTATTATCCTTGGTAAGTTAAGTTAAAAAAACTAGGAAACAACTCGTTTGAATTTCAATTAAGATGCATCGACTATTCATCATAAAAATCATCTGCTTAACAATTGACTATAAAAAAGCGCAGTATTAATTTGGAAAAAAGAATTTTATATCACCACAAGAAACTCTTTCACTTATTGCATAAAAATCTAAGCATTTGAAAATAATGTCTTTAGGTACCTACCTAGGCAGGTATACTTGAAAATTCTAAAAATCAGAACTTGAATAAATGCAATAGGTACTAATGGAAAAAAGAGTGAGAACAATGAACATGCTCGGTTAATAATTTCCTATATACTATAAAGGGTAACCCATTTAAAATATGACACTTATAATTATTGTATTACGATGTGCGCCTTGTCACGTCCATACACGATTAAAATTGTTTTTATCATTTGGAAATTTGGAGACATATATTATAACGATTGAACTGAAGTCGACAGGGTACTGAAATTTAATAACTGACGTAAAGGAATATAGTGCTGACGACATGGTATCTGTAGAATGTGTGAACAGGAAATTGCAACAGTCTACGTCAAACGCCCATTCAAGCACTAATTTAATATAACTAAAAAAAAAAAACGATAGTCTTCGATTTTTATAATATTATTATTGACACCAGATTTTGAAAGAGATAATAATATATATGTATATTATTTATTGATTATCACGGCCCATTATGTATTGACGTATTGTATTTATAAAGACCTCTGGTCGTTTAAATAAAGATGCCTAAGAACAGTTTTAAAAAAAATATATAGGTATAACTGATTTTAAAAATAACTTAAAAATGTACTATAATATAATATAATATTATGGTATATAAACTGAATATTATATTATTCAAACAACAACGATGTACAACCATGGCAACTATTTAAGGGGTTTTTTTTTTATAATTACGGAGACTTCTCGATCAAAAACCGAATTCCTACAGAGTAGTTGCCATGGTTGTATACCTATATATTTTATTTGAACAACATTTTTAAGGGTTTTTTTTATAATTACAGAGACTTTAACATCGAATACCTACAGAAATATAGTTAAAATAAAATATATAGGTACAATGTACATAATATTGTAAATTCAATTTAAAAATAACATTTTCGTGAACAAAATATTTCACTGTAATTAAAATTTGAAACGTCCATAGAACACCAGTATTTATTAATAAAATAATCTCAATATCTTTTAAAAATATGATAATATTTATTTTCATATTTTCAATATACAAAAAATAAATGTAATTTCTTTACATTTTTTAGCATTCTTTCTTAATTTTGAGGAAATGATTGAGAAGTTCTCAAAAAA